ATAGAATAGGATCTCATGTACCTGCTAAAAAAAAAGAGCTAGGTCCCTACTGCTGCTGAGGATAAACATCCAAGATATATTACAAAATATAAGAAAGGTATAGGTGTATACCTAAATATTCCTTACTGAAATCCTGAAGGGGTATGTGTGTGTGTGTGTGTGTGTGTGTGTATACATATATATATATATATATATGTATATATATACACATATATATGTATATATATATACATATATATATGTATATATATACATATATATATGTATATATATATACATATATATATGTATATATATATAAAACTTAAAAGTGGTTACCTCTAAGAAACATGACTGAGAGAATATGACTTTCACTTTTTATTCTAAACTCTGCTGTACTGTTTGAATTACTTTTATTATGTGTATAGGTTATTCTATTAATAAAAATAGTAACTATATGCAGTATTTTCTGCATTGTCTACAGACATCTGTTTGCTCTCTGTAGAAGTTGAAAGGGGAGCATTCTTTCCTAGTTCTTCAGACTTCAGCCTTCACATAGCAAACCACAGAGCCTACTAGTAGACAGGGACCACCCCTCCCCAACCAGTCCAGGTGAGGCTCCCACCCTCACTCACTCTCTCCTCTTTTCTGTGGCATTGGTGTAGAAATCAAGAGAAATTTTCATTTTTGTTCTTCCAATTATAGAGCTATAGAGTCCATCTCTGAAAAGCTAAGTTGAAAGATGATGAAGAGTTATTCCATTGCAAAAGGTAACAAAGAAAAGTCAGTGCTTTCTCTACCATTTATTATATAATTACACTTGTCCCTTGGTAGCCACAGGGGATTGGTTCCAGGAACCCCAAGACACCAAAATCCATGTATACTTTCAGTACTTTGCAACCCACATAAACGAAAAGTCAACCCTCCGTATGAGGGTTTCACAGCCAGTGAATACTGTATTTTTGATGATGCAGAACCATGGATATGGAGCGCCCACTACATCTACTGAAAAAAAAAAAAATCTGCATATAAGTGGATCCACACAGTTCACCCATGTTTTTCAAAAGTCAGCTGTATATTACAAAAACAAACAAATAAAAATGTTTTCCAATTCAAAGTATATCATCTGCCATTCTTTCAAGTCCCATGAGAACCAGAAAGATCAGCCACTACTCCAGGGGGTTTTCTGTCTCAGCTTAGAATCTTACGTTTGCCTACCTCAAACTACTAAGTATCTCTTTCATCTAAAATTACCTCTATAAGAAACATAATAGTATACTGAAGCTGAAATGATGAAGTGGAAGCTACACTGAAAATTTCTGATGTCGAAGAGCTTAAAGAATAGTTGAACTTGGTTTTGTACTAATTCCATCAGAGATGTATCTCCAACCCCGCTGCGGAACGGAGTTTTAAAAAAGTCACCGAAAAGCATGCTTCTGTTTTTCTTATAATTTGACCTTGAGACTTGAGTTAGAGGCTACTTACATAGTATCAAGGGACCTTTCCAAATTGTATAAAAATAATCCCTACCATGTTTTCCTTTGTCAGAAGGTCATGATACACAGGCATTTATTAAAGTTTACTTAGGTGTTCATTTATTTTTTAGCTGTACTGATAGATACGGAAAACAAGTTCAACATCACCTGAAAAAGTCTAATATCACCTTAGCTAAAAATTACTCATATTAAATCTGATGTTATATAAATATTATGATCTAAAATGTGATTTCATTTTTGGTAGTGAGGTGTAAAAGTAATCAGTAAAGTGAACAAAATGTTGCCTGGTGCACTGAGCTGTCTGTGGTACTGAAAAATGCCACCAAAGCTGAAATTTGCTGAGCTGGTGTATTACAAAGCCTCCCCGTCACACTGTTTTAATTCAAGCACTTCCGTCCACGACTCACCTGAACCATCTTATTTTGCCAGAGCATGTGTGTATAAACATTTTATAAAAGGTCACATGGATTTGCTTTCCAAGGTTCTCCATGAAAATGTCAGGGCCTCCTCTTGCTTCATTAAGCAATTCCAGAGGACACAGAGCCAGAAAGTCAGCTCTAACACTTACTTTTCCTGAAAGCAGTGAGAAATCATATCATGTACCAGAAGTCTATACTAGCTACCTTTTACTATCTGATTATCATACTGATATGCTAAAAAGAAAAAGCAAAACTGTGGTATGCTACATCCAATGACATACTATGAATGACAGCATAACTTTGCATTTAGTCCATTAACTCAAAGGTAATTGATATATTTGGAATTCTTTAGAGTGAGCGAGAAGTGCTCATTAGCTTAAAACTTTTTACGGAAAATAAAATACACCTACAGCGTTACCTCAATAAGTAAAAAAAGGTGGGGGGGGACAATTCATCATTTTCCATGCATATACATAATCCTGAACAGTTAGTTCTATTGAGTTTCAGCCCTGTTGGCGCTCCCCTCTAGAAAAATTAGAACATTTCTACTTTTTTCTGGTTCTTGACTTCTAGTTCAGGGTCTTCACATTTATTTGGCCCTCCTCCATTTTATTTTATTTTTTAAATAAAGACATCTCACATAATAATTTGGAGTTTCAATTTGAAGGAGAAATGCCTCTGGATAATACACCAAGTAAAAAAAGCTACATCCAAAATAATTAAATGATATGACCCAAGAATCCATTTTGAAGTTATCTTCAGTCTAGTTTAACAGAAACCACATATCATATAAAATAAACCCAATTTTAAAACATATAATATTCTATAACGTTTGTGTAGCCCAACAGTAAGGAAGTTAACTGTGCATATTTGCCATGGAGGGTCATTCCACGTCATTTTTCTCACTCATACAATACACACCCTAATCAACATATGTGTGCATATGCATAACAGAAATGGTCCTCTAAATTAGCCAATGAGGGGAATGCTTAAAAGCATTAATCTATAAAAATATGATTTCCTGCTTTTTATTAACATCTATAAATTTTAAGATTTCTAATATGGTATCAATTTTTAAGATAGTTAACATTTAGTAGCTCTTCTTAGGCTCCTATGAATTACTTCAAAAAATCTCCCAATAATTCTTAAAAAGTCAGTGTTTTCCAGACACTTTGTTCTTGATGTTAATACCAGCAAACGTCCTCCCCCATGAATGCTTGTTTAGCTGTGTGATTTTCACAAGGAACAGGCAATAACACAAAGCTTCTATATAATAAAACCCAGCAAGGTCTCTCATTTCAGAATCACAGAATCATTAAGCAAAATGACTCTGGCCTCCAAGCAAAACATGTTTTCAAGGTAACTTGATTTTTAAAATACGTAAGAACATTTTGGAGTAATCTTTTAACTAAATTTATATACCAAACTTTTGGATTCAGAGGGAAACTGCAGAAAAAGAAATATCCATGTTTTTGGGCTTTTGGCATGTGGGAGCATATCGCAGAGGGAAGCATTATGGCCTGGAAGCTAGGACAAGGCTGGTTCTCACTGCGCACTGTCTAGTTGTGTGGCCTGGCAGGCTACTTCTGCTGATTTCAGATTCCTTATCTGTAAACTGAGTCAAGGGACCATTAAACCTATATAGTAGCTCTAATTGTCTACTCTTCAAGTCAAAATAAAAAGACAAATTTCTAATGTTTAAGTTATATCTCACTATCTCTTTAAAATGTTTGAAAGAATCTCAAAAGCCCACCATCACTAGCACTGAATTAAAGATCAATGTAAACTGTTAAAACTTTAAAAAATTCAAATGTATGTTCATCTCACTTTGTCAGTGCAGTTTTACTATTTCTTTCTGAATAGTCTCATTCCTTGTAATTATCATTCTCCAACCTCATCCCCTCAAAAACACACTTTTCAAAGTTTTACAAATATAAGGGCAAGGTGAAGTAATTTCTCCCTCCTCACTTGGAGTAATGTGCATCACTATTTTGTTTGGGCAATCATTAAAATGATTTCTTCCATATTTAGTTCGTGTTTGCTAATTCAAATTTAAAATTAATTCAATTTAAATTAACACTAACTTACTTCAACAGCAAATCCTATGTAATGTTTAAATTGAAAGCTTAAATCTGAGGTAGTCTAAAGGAAGATGATCCAAATTAAGGGTCTCATAGTACAACCAAATGTCTAACAGCTGCTCAAAAAAGAAAAAATAATCAGAAAATACATAGTGCAAATTCTTGTGCACCAGGACTACAAACCTGAGCCACTGCACCTCCCAAATAGTGAAATTCTAAGCTAAAAAAAATTCCAATCTAATTTTTGAAAACTCTATACTTATTAATTTAAAAGCCTTAATACTCCTTAGGCTGTAGGCTAACAGTTAACTGATAGATGACACATAAATTTTATAAATTATTCTGATATGGTTACTAATAGCCAAATATAGAGCCCCTGGCTACATTTAAACAAAATAAATGTTTTCCTAAAAACAAACAAAAATGAGCTCACAAGGACAGTGGCCTTAACTCTTAAATTACATTAAAAATACTTAATGATTGGATATACAGAATTTGCATTCTAAGCTCACACAGATTATTTTAATGGTGGAGGATTTAGGAAAGGGTTAGATCTTTTCCCATATCTCATTTATAAAAAGTAGCCAGCAACTCATCACCCTATTTTCTTCTCTATGCTAAATTATAGAAGATGATACAGACACAATCACCTAATGACGTACCCACTAAGGTATCTCAAACAAGAACACAAGTTCATTCTAGATTAAAACTAGAGCATAACTAGCTTTCAGGAAAACAAAATGTGACTGACTGGAGAAGAGGATCCACCTATTGAAGAGAGGTAAAAATCTTAAGAGTCCAACAAATACATCTCAGAAAATGCTGCATGTTTATATGCTACTTTGCCTTGCGTTGTTTTCCACTACCTGAAAGAACAGATCAGGTGCTAACATAACAATACAGCATGTGTCTTCTGTAACCTCAAGCAAGGACATGACGGCTTGGAAAAAGCCTCTGCTGCCTTGCGTTTCTCTAAGCTGACTGTAGGGCTTTGGGTCATTCATAAACAACAGGACCTAAGTTACCTGTATTTCCCTGGCGTGGTACACGATGATCAGACCGAGCAGGATGATCGTGGAGAGACTGATAAGGCATTTCAGAGCTAAGGAATACAGCGACGCCTGCAACACAGTCAGACAGAAGCACTTTTAAGAAAGAAGCACTTTTACCCGCCTTCCAGTCCCCCAGGGTCAGTTAGTCCCCCACAGGACCTGAACTCACAGGAGGAAGATGCGGGGAGAGGGGTGCACCCATCTTGGCTCTGTGATCTGTCAGATCACTCGGCCTCAAAACCAAAAGAGAGGAGAGCAGACTTGGAAAGACTGGGAAGATGCGTGGTTGGGCTTTGCCCAGTCCACGCCGCTGCTCCAAGCTAGCAAAACCAGAGAGGAACTTACTCCTGAGTTCAAGAGAGAGGGTTGAAAGGGGCCTCCTAAACACAATTCACCAAGGGAGGAATATAGATGGTTTCCCCACCGACTCCCAGAACCACTTACTTAAGGTGCCCGAACGCGCTGGGCACTCTTACTGCCCCGAGAACTTTGGCTACACGCGGAAAGGGTTCATCTCCGAGTTGTTTAGCTGACTAGGGATGTGCGTCCTAGACGCGCACGCTGTCCTGGCAGGCTCCCTTGATCGTCCCGGGGAGGCTGGAGACCCCGCAGGCAAAGGGTCCCTGCCAGTGCCCATCCCAACCACCCAGTGCCCGACTCTGGTACCGTAGGCAGGGGTTCAAGCCTGTACCTTGTCGTAAGCGCCCCACGACAGCTCGGTCTCGATGACCATGACCACGATGCCGAACATGCCGAAGATGAGCGCGTAGTCGCTTAGCCGCTTGCGCTTTTCGAACAGGGCGCGCCGGTGGCCCAGCTTGTAGCCGATGTTCTGGTTTTTCTTTTTGCTGGACTTGGTGCCACTGCTGCTGCCGTGCCCGCTCCCGCCACCGCCGCCGCCTCCTCCAGTGCTGCCTCCGCCGCCGGTTCCATAGAGCGCCAGGTTGTTGGAATTGTTGTGCTCGGGCTTCGACACCACGATCTCGGGGGCTGAGGACGAAGCGGCGGCGGCTGCAGCTGCAGCAGACGGGGAGGACACGCCGCCACCTCCTCCGACGGACGCGGGGGGCTGCAGGGGCTGCGCCTCTGAGTCCATCTCGTGCAGGTTCCGGCGGGACGCGCTCAAGTTGCTGAGCGGCCGCATGACGCCCCCGTTGTACCTGCAGCTGCTCATGGCTATTTCGGTGAAGGGGTTGCTCTCGCGGCGCGCCTGGGGCTGGTGGTGCTGGTGGTGCGCCGGGTGCGGGTGGTGGTGGTGGTGCGAGAGCGGGGGCCCGGAGCCCAGGCTACCGAGGCTGCCTGTAGGGCTGGCGGCGGGCTGCAGGCTGTGGCACTGGTGGTACTGGGAGGTGGACGCGGGCTGCTGCGCGTACTGCTGCCGGAGCGCACTGGCATGGCTGGACGGCGTCAGCTCGCTCACATTGAGCTGGCTGCCCCGGCGCGACGAGCAGCAGCAGCAGCAGCACGACGAGCCCGACAGAGGCGAGGAGGTGCGGGTCCGGAAGGCGCCGCCGGGCGAGGAGGTGCGGAGCAGCAGGGACAGGTTATCCCCCGCCCCCGCTGCCGGGGCACCGGAGGAGGCGCAGCTGTTGCACCGGAGGCATGGGCTGCTGCCGCCGCTGGCCGGCTGCTGGTGCGCGAGGTGCGGGTGGTGGTGAGGGTGCGGGAGGGGCGCGAAGGGCGGGCACGGCTTGTCCTGGCTCTGTTGCTGCTGCTGGCAATGCAGGTGTGAGGAGCGCGGCGGCGGCGGCGGCTGCTCTGGGAAGAAGCCGCGCTGGAACTGCAATGGGGTTTCCATGTCAGGGCTGTTAAAGCTGCAGGGAGACCAAGCGGTGGTGCACCCTGCGCAATGCGTTATGGTCGGGAGCGGGGACTCCTGCTGCTGGTGCGAGGAAGGGCCCATGCCGGCTCCGGTAGAATCCAGGCGGCGAGTCCGATTGGTTGGGCGCACCAAAACAATGGGCATGACATCACCTGCGGGGACCGAGACTGAGTTTGCGGCGCGCGCGGCTTAGGGAAGCGTGTTTGGCAGAGAAAGATGGGGAGGGGAGTCTGTAGGACAGAAACCCTGAGGGACGCAGTCCAGAGCCAGGGCGCTCCAGGTCAGGGATTCCACCTGCTGATTGTGTGAGCCCCTCAGCCCTGCTGGAGACGGAGAACCCCCACGCAGTGCAGCTGGGCTGCAGGGGGAGGAGAAAAGAGAAAGGCGCCCTCCCTCCCGTGCCGCTGCCCCCCTGACTAGTGCTGGACGCGCTGCCCGGATCACCTGCGCCAGCCACTGCAGCACGTCGGGCCGCCCTGGCCAGGGGGCAGGCGCAGGGACCGTGTGGAACACGGACCACTTCGCCTGCACGCCTCGCAGGGCTGCAAGACAGCAGCCCCCTCGCCCCACGCCCGCTTTTCCCAGATCGTCCCGCCGAGAGTGGGCTGCCGGCAGCCCGCCAAGTAACTGCGGGGGCACTGGCTCTGGGGAGAAAAAGTTTGGCGACTGGCTTCGCCAGTGCAGCAACGTGTGGCGAGAATGCCCGGGCCTGAGCCCTGCCTTGGCCGCTGCAGGATCATAGCCGATCCAGCGCCCGGATCTTGCCCCGCGCCCGGCTCAGGAATCTGGATCGGGTGCTCGGCGTTCTTGCCCAAGTGCGCTGCGGCGCGGGTAGGGTTAACCGCCTCGGCACCCGGGCCGGGGGAGGGTGGGGGCGGGGCCGGAGGAGGGGATCCCCGCAGTCAGCCCGCGGAGCCGGCGCGGGCTTCCCGGGTCCCCCTGGCGGGGGCGGAGGGCTTTCCCCGCTACCGCCAGCTCACATTTGCGCTTTCTCCGGAACATGAAGGGCTAGCGCCCCCGGCCGCCGGGTCCTGGGCTCTAGGCGCTCAGGCCCTCCGGCAGCCCGAATCCGAAGCTCCGATGGCTTCTCTGGAGGTGGAGAGGCAGGTGGTTCGCTCAAAGGTGTGGAGGGTGCTCAGACAACGCCGGACTCCGGCTCCTCTTCTGCTCCTCTTCTTCCTCCTCACCTGCAGCGCAGACAGAAAGCCAAGACCCGTCACAAATACGCAAATACCTAGCATCTTTGCCAAGTCCTAACTGCAGCGACGGGTGGGAGAGGGGCCTGGCGCGGGCTGGCAGGAAACTTATTAAGAATGATAGCTTGGGCTCAATAATCACTGCCCATGGACAGTGCTGGCGTTTTGTTAGAGTTCGGTATCATTATTTATTTATTTATTCTCTAATAAACTAACAAAAATTGCATTTGAAGTCTCCCAAATTCCCCGTGCTGTGTTCTTCTAAGAAATGTATCAAGACAATGCGCTAGGTGATCCTTTTGAAGGTTCTTTGTTTCTGCTCCATCTTAAGTCTCTATATTTGCATTTCTTCGTGAATTCAAATTCCCGTCTCCTCCTAAAGATGAAACAAATGGGCCCGCTGAATATTTGTTTCCATTTTAATTATTTTAAAACCTGATTTTTATGATAGAGACTATTATAACGAATTAGACCTAGAAATTCGAGTGAAAGCGGATCACCCTCATTAGATCATTAGGTAATTGGAATTCTCAGCTGGATCCAATTTCTTGATACTCTACTTGGCAGCTGCCCTAAAGTTGCTTACCTGGTATCTGCTTGTAAGAGTGTGCGTGCGTGTGTGTGCTTTCAATGTCACAGAGTGAATAATTCATTTGAGGATATTCTTTGGACACGTTAAACAATTTTAATTTTTTCTACGTGCAAATAAACATTGAGCAGAAAAAATGCAGTGTGGGGCGTAGAGCTGCTTTATCCCATTGCCCTGGACTTGAGATAATGAATACTGTCCAGACTTGAATTTCTCAATGGTCTTGGTCATGAATATAATTTAGTGGCAAACATTCAGAGACAGCATTTTGTTTTTATAATCTATTATGGATTTTGTATTTTCAAAATGGTAATTAAATAAAACTTGTTTAGAATCACGAAGCTAATTGAGTCTTGGGGCAGCTGAGTACATATTGCATGAATTGTGTGGAGAGCATGACTATTAAAAACAATCCTAAGAAGTAATTTGAATTAAAATGAAATCTTCCTTATGAAAAGTTATTAACCTTCTTGTCTGAAAAAGAAATTCAACTCATGCACAAAATCCATCAAACATGTATTAGTACCCATTGCAACAAATTATATAGCCTTCCAGTTGTTGTAGGTAGGGACTGAGTGAAAATGTTTGATTCATCCTTAAAAGTCTAAATACTTCAAAGGAAAATTATAGTAAATAACTATTTTTATTAGCCATTCATAAATTTAAATAAAAGAATACCTAGCCTCCACCCCTGAAATACCACAATAGTTGTTGCCAGCATTAAATTTAGATATAAGGTTCTACATTTACTGAACTGTCAAAAGAAAAATAATGGCTGCATCCCTTGTGTCAAACTGACGTTGTCAAATAGCAAATTCAGGGCTTCAACAGAGGCTGCAAAAACAAAATAACAGGCAAAAGTGTATCCTTTGCCATGTATATGTCTATGCTCTAATATGGGATTAGTTGCAGTGCCATTAATCATGTAGAAATCAAAAGTGCCTGCTGAGATTTATTGTAATGCTGCATGGAGTTATCACTTCTCTCCAAAGGGGTACACAGGAGGATAGAATGCACAAAATCCAGAAGAAAATGGAAATTTGATCCACAACATGAGGGACTATGAGAACACCAAAACTCAGACTAATGCTACTTCCAGCTAGCCACTATTTTGAAAAAGCTCATAAAATAATTTAATAGTGTAAAACTCACTGTGATTGGACAGAGAGCAAATCAATCATCACCTTTCTCTTAAGAAATTAACTGATTACACACACTCAAAAAGCCATCTTGCTAATAAATGTCTGTATATTGAGAGTGTGATAAACCTCTATTAGCATGATGATGAAAAAACACAAGATAATTTTGTGTTTCATTTTTAGTCTGAATCATAACTTCATTGGTTTAACACAATGTATACTATTAGGTTATAACAGGCACATTTAAGTTCTTATTTTCATCATTCTTTTTTTTAATAAAGTCAACAAATTTTAAGTTTATATGTAGACATTTTAAATGTGTATAACATTTTTTCTTTTTTTTTCCTATACAGAATTGTAGAGATACATGTAACATGTAAAGTTAAATGAAGCAACAAAGGCAATATTCTTCCACTTGGATAGTGCTTTGCACATTGTACTTATTTATACTTGTGAGTTCAGAGAGAAGGAAAGAGGAAGGAAATGAAGAAAGATTGGAGAAAAACAGATGCAAATCAAGGCCTATGATTTCTAGTGATAAGCTTTCAGAAAATTAAATTTGCTTCTTTTGTTCCATTAAGGCATATAAAAGCAAGAGAATTTCCGTAGATTAACACCAGAGGTCATACTCATCCACCAAATGTATTTCAAATCTAATCAATTAAATCTATTTCCAGCATCACTTTTTAATAAAAACTGTCTATTTTTTTCCTATGGCCTACAACTATTGATTTCCCACACTTGTTGAATTTCAGGCTTATGAACACAAACACAAACACCAATCCAACACACAAACACATTTTCTTAGAAGTATGTCTTTTCTCAGACCACAGGAGCTTGGGAAAAAACGTCATGTTTTTTGCACTCCAATCCCTTATTTTATTCAGATTTATATTATGCCATTGTTTAGAATTCTCTTCTTTATAGGATTGTCTATGCTATGTGTTTTTGTTGTACCTTAGAAAGCAGGGCTCTCTTGACTTTGGGTGTTTTTGGTATATTTCCAAAGGCAATCAGACCAGGGGTCTGTGGCATCTGTTTCCCACATTGCGTGGTCTGAAGGAAAATTTTGACCTACAAAGTAAATGTTTTTCTGAGAATTATTTTTTTCTTTGCCTGGGTGAGTCAATTACAATATTTGATAGTGCCAAACTTAGAGGTTATGACAAGACACAGCCACTCTGAACTTACTTTCCTTAGCAATAAATGCAAGTGGGGAATCAGGATAGTATCAGTTAGCACAATAACATATTGTGTTAGCCCAATAACTTCCTTAGCACAACAAAAATTCCATTTTTCTGTAAACATAACAAAAGGCCCTAGAAACACCATTATTTTTAAATCACACATTGCCCCATTTCATAAGAAATCTACTAATTGGAAGAAAACATAAAAATCATGATATGTGTTCTTCATACTTCTGCATTATGATTAAAAGGTATCAAGACATGAATGAGTATATTGATGATGGTCTTATAAATTTCTAGGAATACCTCTGTTTTTTTTAGGGGCTAATTATTGTGTTAGGGCCTATGCATTAACTTCCTAACTTTTCAGTTTTTCCTATTCTCACCCTTGTCTCCTACAATTTCTCAGCTAATTAGCAAATCTATAAAAAAAGACAAAGGTAAAACTCATATTGAGTTTGCTAGTAATTAAATGGGTGAACAGATAGAAATTATTGTGAATGCTAAGTCTTATTAAAATTATGGATTTCATAAACATTTTTGGCAGCTAGAAACACACACATGTCTAGAAAGTCATAACAGTAGACAGCACATTCTAACTTATAAAGTAGTTTCTCATGTGTTTATTTGCATCTCACAACAAAGCATATGGAAGGCAGGCAAAGGTTTTATCATCATCTCCATTATACAGGTAAAGATAACATCTGAAATGCAGTGCCTGCCCTACCCAAGGTGATATAGCTAGTGAGTAGCAAAGAGAATCCAGACTTCAAATATAATATTCTGAATTTTTCTGAGTCTGTTCTATACTCTGCTAGCTTTTCTTCACAGCCCAAGAATCTAGTAGCCTCTCATTACCAGAAACTGCCTGTGAAGGGCCTCACAGACATTTCCTCACTGGCTTTTTGGTTTCTGTGATCCTTAACTATTGTCCTCTTGTTGACTTCATTTGATCAACAGAATAATTTGTGAGGATATAATACAATGTAGATGAAATAGCAGTGCTGTATGCCTGCAGGTCCAAGGTACCTAATTAAAATATATTTTTAAAAAATACAGATACTAATGTATTCAGACATACTTTTCTATCTACTTTGCTACCAGCCTATAGATTCCTAATTTTTGATGATTTTGACAGTAGCAAATACCATTTTGTTTTTTCAAATAATAAGGGAGATGGAGCAGGCTGAAATTCTTCATCCTGCAGCTCGAGGAACTTGTCTGGAGTCTTGCAGGCATCCAGCTTTGTTCTTGCCTCTTTCTCTGGCAGACTTGTCCTCTCACTGCTTCTCCTTTTATGCCAAAGAGTGAGAGAACGAGAGAAAGGAAACCAGGCTGCACGCCACAAGGAGAGAAAAACCAGTGTGTCTCACAGCTGGCTTAAAGAGTTAGCAAAAGTGGAACCAAAGATATTAAAAACTAACCCTATAAATTAAGGTCAAAGCTTACACTTGGTAATCTAAAAAGTTCTCTCGTTGCTCAGTGCTAAAGCATAGAGGCTACAAAATTAAGATTTATTTTCCTTCTAAAATCCAGTACATATTTTCCTAATTCTTTTCTTCTCCCATACAGTTAGGGCACAAGATATACTGACTCTTTTTGCTCTTTTCCTGATCACAGCCCTGTAAATTCTGTTTCCATGTATTACAAACCCCCTGTTACTATGTTTGCCTTATTCTTATCTACCTCTTGCCAAATAGGCTCAGAAAATCTACTACTCTTTGTCTAACTTTATATTATTCTCTCTCTTTCTTGGAATATTTGTAAATCCCCCCCTAATAACTTTTAGTGCAAGGAGAGAGTTGGTGCCTACTCATATAAAAAGAAAGAAGCACAACTTGCTAAATTAATTTAAACATAACAATGTTACCAGCAATAAAACACTCCAGATGTAAATTATCAAGGTTTGCATATTCGTATTTATCTTCTAAGCCAGGGTTTTCTTAAAAATTAGTTTAATTCAGTATTACTGCTGTTTTGTCTTATGACTGTAAATCCATTAGCACTTTTATTCTACTTTTTAAATTATTAATGTACAATAATTAGGTAATACAAAACAATATACATTATGTAAAATATCAGGGGAAAACAACAGATATATGCT